CTTCTTTTAAAAGTTTCTTTTATTTCGACAGCCTAAAATGCAGCCCACATATTCTCGATGACAAACTAAGTTGCACGCCACATACTTTTTCCCATTTCTCTCAGCATTCGGCATTTTCTTTTTTAAAATGTATATCTCGTTTTGAAATTTGTTTAATTTGGAATTTCAAAATATAAATTTTCGGATAAATGTAAGGGTTAAATCAATGGCAACATACCTATCAATTAGGCGAAAAGAAAAATTGTATGTCAAATACTTATTTCACTTTATTGAATACCCTTTGGTCGTAACCACAGTATAGTCGTGACCTTGATTTCTATGAACGTTGTATGTCCCATATCTCATTTTCAAATTTAGAAGTCATGTTCACATTTTAAACCCGTGGATTTTTATACTACCTATAACCTTTTCGTATTTATTCATAAGTTACATTTTCTGTATTGCATAGTTTACAATAATATAATTTATAATTATATATGTTGCTACAGATTATAATAGTTTTGTTTACCTAATGATTGTTTGTATCACCTAAACCTAATCGAGATAGATATGGAGTTATATATGTACAAGTATATGTATTTAAATGATCAGGATGACTAGACGAGTTGAAATCCGAGTGACTGTCAATCTGTCCGTCTGTGCAAGCGATAACTTGAGTATAAATTTAGATATCTTAATGAAACTTGGTACACGTGTTTCTTGGCAAAAAAAAAGTGAGGACGAGTTCTAAGATGTTTGTAATGGGACTAATGCCACGCTCACAAAACACCATTAATCGAAAACCTATAAAATGCCATAACTCCGCACTAAACTAAGATATAAACCTGTAATTTAGTACAGTAGAAAGGGGCACAACGGGGGGCCAAAAACTTGCGTGGCACCGCCCACATCTATTTGAAAACCTGTCGGACCAAACCTCTACAAGCCCCCACATTCCCAATATGTGAACCCCAGTTCCTGTTGCGAACTTTTTATCGAAAATATCGGTCAATCTGTGAGATATATTATAGGAATTCGGAGAGAATCCTTTTCTGATAAGTATGCCTGTGTGTAAAAAATGGACTGAATCAGATCAATAGTTCCCTTAGCCCACATTTTCGAACGTCCGGTTGACTTTATACCGCATAGTTGACTTTACTCCTGTCAGGTATGTTTTATTTGATGAAGATTTAAATTTAAGGTTCGCTGTCAGGAATTTATATATAGGTATAGAACTAAATTAGTCTATGACCTCTAAAATAAGTTAATAACATACAAATTTGATTGCAATCCATCCACGATTTCGTCGAAAAATAAATGTAGAATTCCTTCGCAAAATTTTTATATTTACATTTAAAATATTTCAGATCGCAACAGATTAATTTCAGCATGAGAAGTGTAAATTTTGTATTAAATATTTTTCACCGGCTGTGTGATAAATCACAGTACGATTATTTAGAAAAACATAAACTACTACAAATCAGGCACTTAATAATAGGTTTAATTTACATACATATGTATCTTGTTAATATACCCTTTACAAATAATAATTTTCCATAGAAAAAATATACACACAGACAGACGGACATTGCTAAATCATTCAGGGTATAAAAATAAATGAAAGCAAAGCGCACCGCCTATGGTATGATGTGGAAGTTTGCGAAACTGTGATATAACAACGCTTAGCTCAAAATGAGAAAAAAGTGCAATAGCTATCTGCACATATTGATTTTATTATTCTATGTGTTGATAATATTTCTTATAAAAGTATGAAAGATAGTACCAAAGTTAAAAAAGCAGTCTATACGTTTCCCAGCCCACGCAATCAAAATACAATATACAAGTATGTTTAACTTCTTCCGTTCATTTATGTACGGCTTATAGCATATTAGTCAAAATGTGGAAAATCTTAACGAAATATAGAATATGGAAGAAATCGAGGCACTATATTTCATAAATAACAATGTGAAAAATATTTAAAAAGTGTGTAAATATGTATATCGAAATTTACCTATAAAATTTCCAACGATATATACATACATTTTCTGAATTCTTAATTGATAATTTTAGAGATATTTATTGATAAACAAGTTTTAAGAAAAAATGCACTCTTAATGTACATAAATACGAATTCGCAATACCCACATTATAACCAATAATTTCATTAGAGATTCGGAAGAAGTTTGGTTTTTATCACCAGCACTTACTAAACGTTTTTTACCAATGGCTGAATAATGATATGCAGCAAATGCTGCTGGACCGATAGAATAAGGTGCACAATAACGAATTAGATCATCTGCTAAATATAAATCTGACTCCAAACAGATAATGAATCCATCAATAATCCCAATATCATCCCAATTGCCTTCGACAGTCATGCACATGAACGTATTGTGGTCGGTTACCTTTAACCGAGCGCAATTGTTAATTGTACTTTCACCGATCGACAAAAAGAAGTAGTTTCTATGGTCCTCTGGAAATTGAAAGACTGTGTATATTTCCTTGGAACTAACCATTTCATCTCTATATTTAATTATAGCATCTCCTGGATAATTGCTGATACATATCCGCTTAAGCTCTTGGTTTTGAACAATTTTGCAACGGGAACTCAACCGATGACATTGTGTCATGGTATTTAATTGCCAGATCAAGATAAATGAAATGAAAACAATTTTGAGCACAAACATCACGAAAACTATGTATTGTATGTTGTTATCATTTTTTTTTTCAGAGCTAAAGAAAAAGTCAAATTTTTCTTACTTAGATCCTTTTCTCAGTTAGATCTTTGAAGTTTTGCCTTCAGTTTGATGCAGGTAGGAAAAGGTACAAACTGAAATTAAACAAGTAAGAAAAGGCTAAGTTCGGGTATAACCGAACATTTTATACTCTTACGACTTGCTAGAATCAAATCTGGAGAAATACCTTATGCATGAAGATACGTTGTTATTAGAACTGCACGCTCTTTCAATTTCATTAAGATAACTCACATATTGATCATATATGCGGTATAAAGTCAACCGGAAGTTAGAAAATCTTTCAATTACCATAGGAAATCGTATATGGGGGCTAAGGCTTCAACACCTTTTTGACGTACACACATACTATTATCAGAAAAGGATAACTTCCGAATTTCTATAATAAATCTCAGAGATTGACCAATATATTTACTAAAAGTCCGCAATTAGAACCGGGGTCTACATATTCGGTATCTGGGGGGCTTGAACAGCTTTGCTGCAATGTAAGCAGTTGCTGGTCATAAGGTGGTACATCTCAAATGCACTATTCGCGCAAAGTTGTATCTCGATCCATTGATTGGTTCTTGATTTGTTTACTGGATAATAATAAGTGAAAGAATCAGATGGAATTTAAAATTGTGTTAAATGAAAAGTACGCGTGTTTTTTGTCTGATTTCGCCTATTTTCGCACTGTAATGTAGAAATATCATAATTATGTTACCTACCGAATTTGGTAGGGTAGGTCCCGAGATATGGGGTTTCACCTAAATTTGACACCGCATTCTGCCCGATACATTCCAATATTCGAATCAGCTGTTTACTATTGTGACCCAACATACAAATGAATAAATTTGGATTTAAAATTTAATTTAATTTTAAATTTAAAATACCAAATGAAGTCTACTAAAGTTTATAATATAAAATATAAGTTATTTTCTTAACTTACATTTCAAATCTGGCAGCGAATATCCTCTTGCTTTATTTCTGATAACAAAACCGAACAAATTGGTTACCCTGACACATAAAACCGATACAATTTCTGTTTCGAACGTCAAACCAATAATATCTGAGTTCATGACACCTACTATATTTTTTATCGAATTCTGATTCCGACAACTATTATATAATTAATGCATATTTAGTATAAATTAGTAGAAAAATTGATAGGAAAGCTTACCAATCTAACTTCTCCATCGTTGCATATGGAAATTACAAAAATCGTAAACTTTTGCAGTAATTTCTCTGCTACTACGCATCGACTACCTGGATACATTACAAAATATTATACCTACATACATATGCACTTTATTCATACGCATTGGTATTGATGATTTCGAAGTTATTATACTTATTTTATAATTTTTTGAATATCACACCTGCAATACCAACATCGTCGGAATGCTAAGGAACACATGTACAAAGTTTCTGACAATATATGTGCTTGTCGCGGGAGTATAAAAAGATCACAGCCATCACCGAGGTCGGTTTTCCTTATTTTTCATTATTTAAAAAAAAAACGCTAAATTTTTTATCCATGATTAAATTATTGTGTAACTTCAGAGGGATCTTTTTATTTAGTTAATAGTCAACAATGTAGCAGGCTAAACAGATGTCATCCATTACATACTCTCTTTCGATTCAATTGATCTCACCATCCTTTTTGGAAAAATATTTTTCAATGTACTTCAACATCATTTTTTTTGTCAGCAAATTTAGTTATTGTCATTTTAATAATAATGCAGATTCTAATTCAAACTGAATATTATACAAAAAAAAAAGTTATCATTCAAAAAGAAAATTTCATAGGCTATAATGTTTGTAAAATTTATTTTTGAATAATGAAAACAAAACAAAATGGCTAATTCTGACATTGTGAGTTAAATCACTTTTGACACATTTTTGTTTTTGGGCTATCGACACAACCTTGTACGATTGAATCATGGTTTAGATCTTTAAACAAAAATTTGAAAAACAAGTAAGGATTATTTCTAGGTGATAGAATCAACCGTTAGGTAAACAAAACTATTGTATTATACTCTGTAGCAACATGTTGCAGGAGTATAAAAAGACGGAAATCACGTTCGGCATGCCACACAGGCAACAAGGTTTTTTATAATTATGAACACATGAGATATTATTTCATCCTAGGAACAAAACAAAATATATACATATACATATATTGTATATTCGATGAAAATGTAAATGAAATATGCGATTAAATTAACCATATCTTATAAGTTCGGCTGTATTCCACTGGCAAAGTCATTTAGTAAAAAATTTAGCCAATTCGTTTTATTTTTATTTTTTATTTTTTGTTCTTTACTCCTTGTTATTCTGTCACTGCTTACAGTCGTATCTTATATAAATTATAAATAAAATCAGCAACCAATTTAATGTATATATCGAGTTTATATTTATGTACACTTGTCCGTTAAAAGTTTATCTGTTAGTCAAATATTAGATATTAGTAAAACAATTTTCGCTTTTTCTACTATAAACAGTATTGTTGATACTACGAAATAAAATTGCATTCTAAACATAACAGCATCTGTGTTACTTCCAACCATTGGTAGGTGATCTATGCTATACTGTAAAGCTACAAATTCTGACGGATTCATTTTTTTCCCAGTACACAATTTCAGTAGGTCATCTAACATTTGCATATTTTGATTGAAACAAAGTATAAAACCTTTATCAACTGTAACTAATTCTGTTTTATCATTTTTAGTTGTGCAGTTGTATTGTACTGGTGTGATTAACTTAGCTTTAACACACTTGATCAGCGGACTAAAATAATGAGAAATTAAATAACCGTTGTCACTGTTATCGATGAGTTGAAATATCGCATATATTGTTCCTATTTCCATTACTCCATCGTGGTATTTGTATAATACTTCTGCAGGATAGGCGCCAATGCAAATACGTTTCATTTCCGATGTTTTCAGTAAATTGCAGCGATTTGACATTCCCTCGCAAACACTTACTTTAGATATTACAGTAAGTTGAACAATTACAAATAAAATTTTGAAGCAATCCATAAGTATACAAATATACGTTCATATGTTTTGTATATTTATTATTTGATTATTTTTTTAAATTTGAAATCTCTAAAAGCGAAAGTATCTTGTGTAAGAAAAATACAATTCGTATATAAAGTATTTTAGAAACCCATGATTCCATAATATCATATTGTGGCGACAGAAGTAGCTGTGTTTCTTCTTGTGAACTTGCTTACGTCAAATTATCTTTCTTCGTTTCTTTCTTTGTTTTGACCAACGTATTTTATGTTTTATTTGCAGAAATGTTAAATTAGTGGAAAATGACTTGATTTAATACATGGGAAACATACATATGTAGGGTTGTTATAATTATTAAATACATTTTCGCTCGAAATGCAGTTTTCCTACTCAAACATATGTACTAATATTATTATATGCATATAGTTATACTCGCACATACTCATTGATTTCGACATAAGCATAATCAAATACTAACGTGAAATTGATATATTTTTGTTAACGAAAAAACTTTCTGTTATGAATAGTGTTAGAAAGCGAAAAATGTTTCGTTCTCTTCCTCTTTTAATAAAAAGCATTGTGTACGACCACAGTGTCACGCAGATTCTTTGGTTTCAACACCGTTTTGGTAGTGATTAAATTACTAAAGCGAATAAATTTGCTTTCATCTTTTTTAAAAGACCTTCTGCAATATACACTGTACGTTTCCTATTGCACTCATTAACAAACGGTTAGTGCGATATGTTCGACCATAAAATTCAGCTTAGAGTAGAATTCACCTTATTGTCTCAATAACACCACTTACCAAGTTAACCGCTTTTGTTAAAGCCATCGCGCATGTTGTTGCACCTCTTTTATGTACTTCTGTAAGAACTTCTGTCTGCGACCATCGACTTTTGTCATAGATCATAGTCAACACTCCCATTGCGGAAGGCTGGTGTGTATTATAGTGCTTGTTATTTGCGGAAAGCTACAGAAGGCACGCACATAATAACCCTGAGTTAACTTTTTTGGAAGTACTGTTGAAAGTACCATATTTAACAGCTTTGTTCAAATTTTATACCGTAATGAATGATAATGATTTTGACCGTAAAATGAAATATAAATTAAGGAAAACAATCACGATGATGAAATTAGAATTTAAATAGTTAAGTTTAGTAGAGTTGAATTAATTTGTACTTTCGTCGTGAAATTATTTATAATAATTTGATTGATATGATTTCTGGGGACTATTGAAAGAATATTTTTAATTCATTAATATTATTTACGTTTCCATATAATATCATTTCGAATTATTTAAAATCATTATTTAATTCTAGCAGAACTTGAAATATTGTGTATTTATTTAACCTTGATGAAAATGTTGTAGTGGGAGAAAAGCCAGGTTCTATACTATATGCCGTATTTAAATTATAGCTTTTTATGAGAATTTCTATTAAATGCTTAAAGAAAAGATAAATAAATAAATAGTTAAAAAGAACAAAAATAATTATCCCAAAGTTTCACATATTTTTAAGATATATTCATTGCAAAATATCAATATAATATTGGCACTTTTCAATCGAGAAAGAAGATTCAGAATAAACATAGAAAAAGATAGTTGGCGTAAAGGCACGTTAGCCTCTAAAATAAAGGGCGGAATTGGTGCGGGTATATACTGTACAGAGTTAGACTTAAGGCAGCCTTTTAAACTGCGGGACAGTATATTTCAAGCAGAGGAGCTAGCATCTAACCTACGTGGACAGCCAACCAACAATCAAAGCTTTAAACTCGTTTGGCATATCGGCCAAAAGTGTCAGGGCAGCAGTAGAGAGTGTCGCCAGAACCAAGCGACTTCACTTCCACTGGGTGCTAGGTCACATGTGATCGTTGGCAATGAAAACGTGATAAACACTGAGAAACTCAAGCATTGTCTATACGGCGATCTGAACAGGAGCATGGCAAGGAAAATCAAAACGAGGTGAAACGATCTATCTGGGTGAAAAACTGCAATAGTAATGTGTAAAATGGTAGATCGAAAATGTACAAAGTTTCTACTGGCACTCGATTAAAGGGACTGTAATCTATTTAAGATTTTTAATTTTTAATCCCGATAAGAAATGAAAATCAAATTTTAATCCCAACATCGGGATACACATATATATATTTAAATTATTGTATTAAAAAATTTACAACCCTGTATGAGCCACTGGAAGAGATATCGTTCGCGTCAAACGCTGTTATTTTAAAGAATGACTGCTCCTCATGGACTTCGTAATGGAACTCTATCCCTCTCTATATAAAACTATCATTACTATACCAATATCAAATATGTTGCTCAATAAATACTACATATTATACTACTTTTATATCATTTTACAATGGCATATTCGGATCGTCTTTTCGTCTTTTCACATTTTCCAATTCCCGTTTTTGCAAACTACTCAAAAGAACTGTATTGGTAGTAAATACAAAATCTCTAAATACGAGTTAATTTTAATCTAACTCATGGAATCTCGTTCAGATTTTCAAAAAGACAAATTCGCAACTCTTATGTACAGTTCGGAGCACTGAAGTAATTAAAACGGTATTTTAAGCTCCAACTTTCCACTTCCCCTTGGTAATGGCGCTGCTGTTCACTTAATACATAATTAGTTTTGCGGGAATGCATTTTACATTATTAATAAAATCGGTTTTATTTTAAAATATGCTTTATTTTATGCCAACCAATTTGTTTGTCAGTTGTTTCTCACAGTGTGTTTTTATAAAAGAAGGTCAACATTTTACTTTACTTTGATTTGAATTGAAAATTTTGCAAAGATTGAAAAATTTTACTTCTGTTTTTAAATATATTTTCGCTGACTTTTTGACAAGCATCATTGTCATTTGAATTCGCCATCGGATTTATTTTTAAATACGCTGAAATTGTAGAAAGTGTGAAATTTCTGTGCATTGACATCTGCATATATTTTTTCATACATATGCATATGCAAACATATTTGTACATATATGTTCGCATATAAATGGAATCAATCGAATTATATAACATCTATAATCACTGCTCGCCAAGTAAAAGCTTCAACTGAGTTCGTATAATAATCCAGTTAAAAATAGATGTAATATAAATTTAATTCCGCGTACAAACCATATGCAGAGAAGCAGACAAAACTGCTTTATTGAACCTGAAAAAACCTGAATATTGGTTTGAAAATTAGGAGTTGGACCGAAAAGATTGTCACCTATGAACGCTACTTAGTTCTGAACAATGTATTTCACTTTCTCCACCCAGTGAATGGAATTGTAGTGCACTCTGAGATATGCTGGGTGTTCGGTCATGAAAACGTCCTGCCGAAATATCACTGCCTCGGCGAGAACTTTTTAATGAAACGCTTTCTTGGGAAAAAGAACAATAACAAATAATAACCTTAAAAGCAGAACGAAAATCTTTAGAAAAAAGTGCATATATCATTGGATTGATCGCGGAGTTACAGTAACCAAGCCAAAAAAGTATAGAAAAGATTATAGGATCTATGCAATCTTGACAAAAGGCTCGGATAATATAAATTGTAAAAAATGGGAGCCAGCAGAAAATGAAGAGACCAACAATGATGGCAAGAGTTTTTGTGGCTTTAGTTTCCGTCCGAAAACGTTTAACTTGTGTTTTGAGATTTCTCCGTCCGATTTTTTTGCTTCGATATGATTGATGTTGCTGCATAAATGACGTTCCATGCTGGTGGGTTATATCGCCGGTATTTGATTGGCGGCGCTCATTGTCTACTTGTAAATAACAAATTTTGTTTTGCGGTTGGGGAAAGAGTTCTGACTCGATCGTCTCGCCGCCGCTAACTGAATTGTAGTGCACCGCATAAAGGGTGCTGCCATTGTTGAAAGAACGGTGTTCACCAGAGCCAGTCGACTCACCACCGCGAAATTCATTAATAGTTTCAGTGGAAGCATATGAAACGGATATCTTAATTTTGTCGAAGTTATTAGACCGGCGGGTGGTATATTTTGAAAGACGCTCTGGTGATGGAGTGCCCAAGGTAGTGGTGGTGCTTTGGGTGCTGCCACTACTATAGGTTGAGTCGTGCTGGTTTGAGCCGCGTCCACGATGAATTCGTAACGTTAAGCGTTTTTCTTCGAAACGTGAACCAATACTTTTCGAACCTATAGGAAGTCCAAAAAGGATTAAACAAAATAACAAAATAATTTATTAATATACAGTTTTATACATAAATCTATGTTCATTTAGATAAAAAATACCTTATTTATACACAGAAAAATTTTGTATAACGTTTTAATGTAAAGCAAGAAATAATTTCTCTTTAGTAGTAATGTTGAGAAGAAAAGAAAATAAGTACCTCCAAAAGTACGAGTATTTCTGTCCCGTGTGTTTACAAGTAATGCAATAAATTTTGTTTTTCCCGACTATAAAATGTCAAAAAACTAATTTACAGGTTAATCGAAATTTCATATATTTTTTTTACGCCATCATCAATGTAATGGATTCTTCCTAAATCTATTGTAACCAAACATAAAAATGATGTTAACTACTATTTGGTATATATGAGTGAGAAACTATATGAAGCATCGATATGTTTGTGTAATTTAGAAACTCATACTCATCACCAAATATTTTTTGTTGAGCATTTTCAGGTTATCTGTTAAATGGGAGATTTTGCAAATTTAAAGCTGTCTCTAAACGATACGTCTCATGTATTTCTCGTCATTATCTCCAATGGGAAAACGCTATTTGAAAACAAGTAGGAAGGGCATAGTTCGGGTGTAACCGAACACTTTATACTCTCAAAACTTGCAACGATCAAAGTCGGGGAAATACTTTTAAGTGCTCGCAAAATGGTATATTTTATATAATTAAATGTTGCAAAAAAGCTCAAAATTCAAAATTTTAAATGGATTACAATCAAATTTCGTATCTTATTAACTTATATTAAAGGTCATAGACTCACTTAGTTCAAACTATATGAAAATCATTTTCATATATGTGATATATATTGAGTTGATGTGGAAAACGTCAACCGAACCAACTCTATTCATATTCAGCGCTAAACTATTAATATAACTTTATAACTTTTAAGAAAACTAGTCCACTTAATTTAATTGAAATATCACATTTTGACCAAGTTTAAAATTCTTATATTAGGTATATGGGAGCTGGAGTAGTGTTGACCCGATTTTATCTACGGGTACGGGTCTACAGTACGACGTATCATTACCATAAAAAACTGTTCTCTGAGTTTCATTACTTCCACATATTGACCAATATATGAGGTGTAAAGGCAACCAGATGCCTAAAAATCCTGATATTAGGTAGTTATATGGGGTCTAGGGCAAGTTTTTACCCGATTTTATCCATTGTAGGTACAAAGATGCACCGTTAGGAAAACACGCTCACTCAATTTTATTAAGATAACTCACATATCGTACGATATATGCGGTATAAAGTCTACCCGAAGTTCAGAAATGTTTTTATTAGGCATATGGAGGCAATGTTAAGACTATCAATGGTATACATTAACAGCAAAATTTTATCCCGATATATTCATTGGTGATGGATTTGTGGAATGGAAAGTGAAAGAATTAGATGGAATTTAAAGTTACGATTACGAAAGTACGATTTTCAAACCAGAGGTGCCCCGCTTTAATGCATTCCGTTAAACCAAATAACAGTTTTGTGTCTTTATTTTCTGCTTAGTTATGGCAATTTATAGGTTTTCAATAAATAGTGCCAAGAAACATGTGCACCAGGTTTTATTAAGATATCTTACCCGTATTTCAATTCGTCCTGATCTCTTATATATGGTATATAAAAATCCATATTTACTATCTCAATTAGTTTTGGGTGATGCAAACTACCGTTAGGTGAACAAAACTATTATACCCTGTAGCAATACGTTGCAAGAGTATAACAATGGTACTACAAGTAAATTAAGTAAAATATTGGTATTAATTGCGAAATTTCCGAAAGTGATAGATCTTTATATTCATAAATTGCAATACAAAATACCATGTTTATTGGTCTCAAAATATAGTAAAATTAAGTAAACATAATTTAGTTTATGATCTCAGATATTCACAATACAATTTTTCAACTAGTTTGATTTATTAGGTTGAACATATAAATATAAATCACATTAATCAGGAAATTAAGCACAAGAGCCATCATACATTACTAAGGCAAAACTTCTCAATCTTCAATTCGCTTTTGTTCCAATGTTACTACGATAAGAATCGACATACGAGTATGTACCATATATGTACGTCTTTATGTTTGATTATGAAAATATAATATTATATCTACTGCCTAGTAGCACCAGTAGAACATTGATATAGTCAATCGTTTTAACGGAATGTTGACCACCAAAGCAACACTACTACAGATTCTTCAAACAAAAATTGTTGTTGATGTAGCCATTTAGAAAGTTTCACGCACATTAAAAATGAGAGATAGTACATATGTATATGGTACATACACATTTGGAATGTATATTGTATACTTTATTTTAATATTTTATTGTCATTTTTTGTTTGCGTTAACTATGTTTTAAGTTTCCGTTTCATTTAGAAATCCCCTGAAGAATTTCTTGGTAATAGTCACATACAATAGTCATATACATATACATACGTATGCGTCTTATTCTACAAATGTATAATTTACTTTCACATGCATATGTACATATGTATATATATTAGGGTAGGTTAAAAAACAGATGTTTTTCTTTCGCTTTCTACTCTGAAAAATTGGTTGATAGTCACCTCTAACAAAGGCTCTGCAAGTATGAGCTATTAATTGTAACGAAAAGGTCTTCCGCTTAACGGTTTTCTATTTTTTTCTTATTATCAGATATATTATAGATAGAAATTGATATCTCGCTCCCAACTGCTCGTTTCCTAGATTTTGTAAGAGATCTACAAAATGATCTTTTACGGGTTTTTCGTAAAACTAACCGTTTAAAAGTTTAAATTTAAATTAACAGTTAAAGTTTGACTATTTTGAGGCAAATTTGTTTTTTTCTTTTGCATTTTATAACTCAATGAAAAATTATAGTTTAAAAAACTAAACAATACGCTTGTAAAGGCACTTAAAAAAAAAATGCGAAAAATAATTCCCTATGCATACATATAGACTGACAGTATTATTGACCGAAAAATACTTGTACCATATTATTGTGAGAAGTGTACCAAAAATATTTTCTCACAAGTTATATAACGAATTATTTTTCACTTTTTGGTTTAATGTGCTTTAAAAGCATGTTTTTCAGTATTTTAAATCATACTTATTATTTAGACATACTTGGTATTTTCACTTTCTTTAAGAATGCGTTTGACTAAATTTGTTATTGAAACAGCATGGATAATTTATGCTTTATATGCTGCATAGTTTTGGGGCATTTTTTTTAGGATGATTATTTTCACAGCTTGTAATAGGAGTGGCTGAGTAACCACACCTACCAAATTTGGTTGAAATTGGTCGGATAGTTCTTGGCATATAGCATTTCAGGTTGGTGGTGCGACGCCCATTTCCCATTTCCCAATTTCCAATCCCATCTTCTCCTATAAAACTCTTCCCTACCATCCTGTTTGTTAAATTTAATGCTTATGGCGCACTTATTTAGTGAGTTATCGCACTTTTAGTAGTTTTCAACATAACAGTTATATGGGGAGTGGGCGTGGTTATTATCTAATTTTGCCCTTTTTCACAGTGTATATAAAAGTGCTAAAAGAACTTACTCCCAGCAAATTTGGTTGAGTTAGCTTCAGCGGCTTAAAAGATATGTATGTACATTAAACCATTTAGGGAGCGGGGCTATGCCCACTTTTAAGAAAATGTCAACCAATCGGTGTCCTTGTTACAGCGATTCCATTTACCAAATTTTCTTTTAATAGGGTTTTGTGGGTGTGACAGTGTTCCGATTACACCCATCTGCAATACCGACCTCTTTTGGGTGCCAAGTTTGTTCAGGATATCTTAATTTATACTTAAGTTATCGCTTGCATAGAAAAAAGTTACAAACATACATGCAAACATACAGGTGAGGTTAATAAAAACGTTAAGAAAACATCATTTTAAATTGCAAAATTTTAAGTCTTGTAGGAAATTTTCTGGTCTACAAAAATGGTAATATCTTTTAAACGGTTAGGTTTACCAAAATACCGTAAGAGACCATTTTATAGAGCATTCATTTTCCTACAAAATCTTGAACGAGATATTTTTTTTAGCAGTTGGAAGTGGTATATTAATTTTTCTATGTGATAATAATAAAAAAATAGAAAAACGTGAAGCGGAACACCTTCTTGTTACATTTAATAGCTCATACTTGAAGAGCCTTTTTTAGAGGTGTCTATCAACCATTTTTTCAGAGCACGAAGCGAAAAAATAAACATTCGTCTTTTTTTTGACCCACTCTATGTTGCAATATATAGGCATTTATGCGTACATAACAATTATTTTATATAGTTTTATAGCTACATACATGTATACGTACAAAAAAAAGTATACACCGGAAATGTATGAAATTGTTTGGTTTAGTATCTCAAAACGTCCTGGACCGGCATAGAAATTAATTTCACTGAAAATACATACAAGTATATTCACATTTTGCATGTGTGTATTTTTAATATTTTTGCGTATACTTTGAGCATATATTTATGTACTTTTTTACGATAAAAATTTGACTTCATGTATAACCATTAATATGCCGGAAAATTAATGGATCAATGTCACTAAATATTATAACTTAATATATTGCATGATATAATACTTTTTCATTTAAAACAAGGTAGTGATTGTATATTATCTGTATATATTTTACATATTTATTTATATTTTGTGCATATTATATTTTTATAGCACTATAACTATTGCCTAAATATATGAAAGGTAAAATATTATTATATATGTATTAATTTATAAAGTTCATACATGTACATATAGTATATATGTATAGTTATCGTAAGTTTTAATGCTATGTTATATAATATATAGTCGTATTTAAGTATGTATGTAAATAAAATTATCAACTAATTAAAAAAAAAATGTATAATTATATTTTTATTTTTTAGTCTTTTTTTATTGCTTAACGAACAGATACGGATCAACGCCCTTTATGTATTACATAAAATGGCTGCACATTTGTGTACAATAG